AGCAAATCCTTATCCCCACTTATAGCTCTGACCACTTGAAATCATCTCATACAATAACCCTTCGAAGCATAATTTTGTCAATTACATTCCCTAATTTGAGTAGATGCATCGCGTAACCCCTTGAATCCTTTCTTTAATTTCCTTCATTCTCTGTGCACATCTCATTTGACATTCAAGCGAATTTAGCCGTGTTTAGTTTTAGCTTATTCGACTAAACACTTTCATTCGGGATCAATTCGTTGCGTTGTCTCTATCGCTTCTGGGTTTACGAGTTGTGTGTGTATGTGTGTGCTTAGGCAGTATTCAGTAATATGCTTATTGTTGATAGTTGCTAAACCAAGGAAACTGCGTTAGCAACATGTTTCAGAAGACAACTCGAGAGCAGAGTAATCATAAGTGAGATTTAATGAGTGAGTAGTGAGGAAAGGTGATTAGTGTGTTTTGCTTAAATCAGTACGGAACGACGGGGAGAAGGCGGATAATTGCAGTGGTATTGGTTACACGGTCTTTAGGCTTATGTTTATACTCACTCGTCTTGCTGATGCGTTGTCGCCGCTGTCGAGATCATCTCCAATTGTCAACAGATCATCGCAGTGGGCGCAGATCGGATTAACCATTAAATCTGAGCAAATGCAAGCAAGCCGGCTTAAACAACTACTACTAGAGAGACGATATGTGAGATGAAGCATAAACTGGAGCAGACTCAGTCTAATTTGAATTTTCCGCTCATCAGTGAAGTCGAATAGGATTGAGTAGGAGGCACCACTCTGGGAATGAGGATACTCTTCATTTGGCTATCTAACAATAAGCACAACTCGTCAGTTGGTTGCGCTTGATTAATGTGCAATCAACACATAAGATTATGAGTGACAACATAAGAGGATGAAATTGATGAAATGTTAGATCAAATGCAGTTAGTTACAGATATAAATACATGCAAGCAAGCATCATTCCCAGTTATTATTGCTGTTGTTATTGCAATTCAAATCAGTAGCACTTGTTTTTTTTTTCAATATTTTAAACAGTAAACTGAGTATCACGTCAGTAGGGAAGCTTGAATTCAGCAACGTAAATCCGCAAGGAAGAAAGAGATTAGTGGCGTAAATCACGAGATTAATCCCTAATCTCGAAAATTTGCGAAAACACTCATCATAAACACTAATAAATGTTTTCGTTAGAAGAGTTGTGATATTGTGTTTATGGTTTCTTTTCTCTAGATCACTTGATGTTTGATCACGCAAAAATAAGTACACATTCGCCGCGAATTTTCATCTAATTATTTCGGCAGAAGTTCATCACGTACGGTAATACCTGAAATGTATTCGACTCGAATGCGCACAACAACTCAAGTGTGTTTTAATGAGCATTCAGCATGCACTACTTGCATAGGTAACACCTAATCGCAACTGTTGTACTTATTAATTCCGTGTTACTATGGCAACAGAATTCCACAATTTACTAATGAATGAATGCAATTTTGGAATTTTCATCTAATTTGCCGGAGAAACCTACTCAGTTGATGGATAAAATCACATTAAATATGATAAATGAATCATCTAAATATGAATTCTCCTCAGCAGTTTCCCTGAACTACGGCTCGCTCATATCTCCTGTCCCTTACTCTTGGCCATTTTCCCCGTCACTTGCAGAGAGTCTTGTGTTTGCAAGACTTGATGAATTCGTTGCTTTCAAGCATATGAATAAATGATCATCTATCGGCTATCTCTCTCTTACATTCCAGATGAATGAGTTTTAATTTATATTCCGTACACATGCACACACACACATATATCCCATATTTCGCAGAGATATCAAATCACTCAAACTCAACGAAATCCAATCGCACACTGATCACTTCAAGATGAAACCCATCGTATACTCTAATGATCGAAATTATTGTCTAGATTGATTACCAGTGTGCATACGACGACACTTCAATCATGTTATTTATGAATTAGAATATTGCATTCATCATTGCAATTGTCATCATTTCTAATTCTTTGTGACAATCTTCAGCATCTTCGACGTATCATTATCGCAGTCGCACAATAAACAATAACAAGTAAATTTGAGACGTCCGTACGTCCATACAGTATTTCAGACACATATTACTTATTAGTTGATGAGATTCTATTGTTGTTATTGTTGTATTTATTTTATATATTTATTTATCTACTATTATTATTATCGTTCCATGCATCATGAGCCACGAATGAATGTTTAATACTGTTTACGTGAATTCATAACGAATTACATTATGTTCCATGCGTATAACATGCAAAATTTTGAAACTAGTTCAAATAAAAGCAACAAGATAATAACAACAATAACATAATATAATTTGTATGAATGAGTTTCTACAAAAGAGTTGACTGATTCCTTGGTTGGTTCGTTTCCATCATAATAACAAACATTACATTCAGAATTGATTGCGATTCATTCGATGTTTTGACGTCGATTGACCAAATTCGACTGATTTTTCGACTTGTCAACTACTCATTTATTATGACTGTTATTGGAGTTGTGATTGGAGTTGCCGTTGGTTTNATTATTGTCATTATTATTGTCATTATTACTATCATTGCTATTCATTGGATGGTACTCATTGCTGATTGCTTTCTAGAAGAGAAGTTTCGAAGAATTTTCCGCAAATAATTGATGAGAGCAATCGAACTGAAAATGGAATAAATAAGCAGCAGCCATACGAATGAATATCGGTCCCCCAAATCCCTCACGATCGTTCTAACAGATCCACCAAGAAACATCCGATTCGAACACGAAGAGATCAGAGAACAGCCATTGTGGTAGTAATAGGTAGGAGTGAGATTGTTTTTGCGATTGCAACAGGTAGTAATCAATGAAAGACTCAAAGAAGAGTATTATTATTTGTAGATGAATGAATGTGTTAATTATACATGTACACAGTCAGCATTCAATTTAGGAAAGCAGCCAGTTTTGGTTTATTCATATTGCCTATTTGCATATTTCATATGACCACAATAATATCTACTCACTTATGTAATATTTTAGATAAACATAAGCAGTAATATGTGGATGCATAATGCAGATACAGTAACTCAAATGTGACAACATTTTATTAGCGAATTTAAATTTATGAGTGAGGTTAATGAAAAATATGATGAATAAGCACGTAGAATAATAAAATGCAATAGTGAATGGAATGATGTTGGCGTGAATAATAGATGTACGAATGTAAACGTTAATATTTCATTTCATTATATAAATTGAGTGATGTGTAAGGCAGCTTAATCGAATGATTATTTATAAGAGCTTGTTTCGGTGAACGAGACTCACCTCTATTAGCATAATAGCTTTTGCATGATTATGGATAGATGAATATGAGCGAATTAAACTGAATGACTGTCGAAGGAAACGAGTCAACAAACAAATTTAATTTAGTTATTCGATGTAATAGCAAGCTTTGATCAAATGGTTATGCTGCTCTTTACGTTATCCATGCTTATCATAACGTACCACTTATGACTCAACAAATATTATCACTGTTGTGTTTGCATGTCTTCTTGATCAGTCGATTATCCGTCTCAGGTTAAACGTAAACCTCATCCAGAAGAAAAGCTGATTGTGAGCTTAATGTTCGGCTTGAAGATTAAGTATTCGAATGGATACACTGCTTGAAGATTAAATTAATTGTAGACGCAAGCTTAAGTCTGCTCAGCCTCGTAATCTAATATCCGTGACTAAACACGGCATGGAATGAGAAGTTAGCGTGATTAAACGTTGTTTTACACGATTAACCATAGTAGTACCATATGTTGGGCTAATACCAAATGCATACAGAGCGATCAAACAAATACACCATTGGAAATGTTATTTGAAACGATCACACATCTAGCATCTGCGTTGTGATCAGCACTCACTTATCATTATGACATCTCTTGAGAATTCGAGTATTTTGTTTATACACCTACGACGAGAACGTTTTCCTGACATTATACAATGCAAATAAACATCAATCACTCTTATATGTATATTGAGTAAGGCAAATATTGTACCACCATTCATTAGTGTACTCCTTAGGTATACATTCTTTCAATTCGATGCATTGCTGACTTCAATTGCCTAAGCCTTTATCCATCGCCTAACATCACAATATCGCTCTTTATTTGATATCGCCATATGCAACAAACAACTTAAACGACGACTCAATGTTTTCGTTCGTTCTGAGTGAGTGGAATGATTCGCGCTCAATGTTTTCATGGTTTTATTTTACTTCGCTCAACAAAACAAGCTTATGTTAGTGACGCTCTAAACTGCATCAAAACAACATCTAGATTCAGCTCTAGACCTGGCTCTATCTGTATAAATGCATTAAGGTTCAGATGTTTGTGAAATACTACTCGTTCGTGTTGCATGGTGTTGTGCAATTGGTCGTTATTAGAGACGTTGCTTGGTTGATACTTGAGACATTCATTCGCTCATTGTTCAGTAAGCAGTAAACAGCTGAAAAAAGGAAGGTGAGGAAAATGAGATGGATGGATCAAAGAAAGGAGAATAATTAAGCAAAGGAGTCAAATAACAGGAGTATCAACAAAAAACAACGACACCAGCAATAACAATAACCCTCATTTATTCGCATTTACACTATTGTGAGCACAAACTCACTGCACAAATAATATCTCATATGCAAACCACACAATAAATAATGAATATATCTTTCTCTGTTCTCCTATAACTTCATTGCTCAGTGCTCAGCCGATTGTCCATAGATCATGATCGATACTCACGGAATTAATGATCGTTCTTTCGGTCGCAATACCGCACCATCGGCTCGATAATTTATCGTCAAAATTAATCATCTGTTGAACCCGGCCGACCGAATACGATACGATAAGACACGAAACTATCTCCCACCGCATTATCGTCGAATAATTTTCTTTTCATCTCGTTTTCCACTTATGCCGCTCAAAGAGTCGCATCTTATTCTTGTTGAAAATGCACACATGCAACTTTCTTCGTCACTTATCAAGTATGTACGATGAAATGGTGCCATAATATCTGTATCATAAGTAAACATCATGCCATTGACATTTCTACAAGCTGCGAACATTCACTGAAATAATAATAGAAGTGAAAACAAATGAGATTTTAATCAATGATACTGATAAAAAATCAGAAAATAAATTACTATTTGATAATATTGAAGAAAATGTACAATAAAGATGAGGACAACAAAATATGATTAAAGAAGGAAGAGGAAATAATAATGGTAACAATAATAGAGATTACGACAAGTATTACTGAATTAGAAATGAAAATAATTGGATACAGATGTGATTACGCAGTAATGAGAGTAATGCATGGTAAAAGTAACAATAATGAAAGAAATACCAATCAATTTGAGTCCAAATAATGCGAATAATCCATATGAACAGTAGTCGTTAGAAACATTCATTCGCTTTGAAGTGTGATTTATTCATGAAGTATCAAAGAACGGAGAATTCTTCTTTGTTCACTGTGCATATTCCTTGTTCGCTTCATATTTGGAGTTTTTTGGACTCGTTTCATCGTGTTCAATTCTCATTCAATTATCCAGTTGCATTGATAGATAATGTAATTTATTATGCTAACTGCTATA